CCAACAGAATAGTAATTTACGTTACAAGACCGGAAAGTAGTGTTTTGCAGGTCGAGACAAGCAGATTCCAGGGCGAGCTGTAGGCCAGACCTGGAAGCTTGGCGAGACCTGCATAACACTAATTTTCGGTCGCGTGACGTACAATATTTTTTTTAAGACCGACACTTCGGTGTAAACTCAATTATTTATTAAAGTGATTAACAAATACTAAAACTAGATAATGGATACAACTGCATAATCTAACCAAATACATTATTTTTGAATATTTATGACAAATGTTCTTTTTTCCTGCTTCCAAAATTTCTTTTGGAATTTCGTTTTCTATGTCAGATAATTCAAAATCTGAATCCATAATTTTAAATTTGCGAAAACAAGTTAAACATAAACAATAAATTAAAAATCAATGAACTGTCACTTGGCAATAAATCGGAAAAAAATTAAAAAGAGGGACCGGTAAAGCTTTTACCTGTCCCAAACGTCTACTTTCCGGTCTTCATCGGCAAAACGTTACTTTCTGGATGAAAAATTGTTCAGAAAGTGTATACTTTCTGGTCGGTCTTAAAAAAACATATTTACATCTCTCGCCTATGCACCATCATATGTTACAGATAGCCCGCCCCCTTAACTGTAACCGTAAATGAAATTAGCTCAAACAAATTGCCAGAACCAAAAAATGGACTAGGCAACAAATCTGTACCGAACAACTAACTTGAAAAAGATAGTGTTGTATCAACATCTTCTTCCAACTGAAAAGTTTGCATCAGAAATAATTAGACCTTTCTCGAAAGCTCCACCTAAAAAAGAAAAAATAGAGGAAAAAAGAAAAGAAAATCGACTGTATACACTGATACTCCTGAAAAAGAAAATATAAGAGCAGAATATGAAGAAAAGATGAAAAAACATGTAAATAAAAATTTTTCTGATTCTAAACCAAAACCGAATCCTCCTAAAAAACGTAAAGTTAAGGACGAAGACAAGATAGAAGACAGTGATGAGGAAGATGAAGAATCTTACTATCTTATCTGCGTTGAGCCTTACCGTGCAAGTAGACCAGGCGAAAAATGAGTGCAGTGCATGGGCGAAGTTATGACATCAGGTCTGGGGGGGCTAACGCCCTAGCCCTAGTCATCTAATATAATAGGTAATAGTTCTGGTAGTAAGAGGTATATTGAAGTTAGGTAAAAAAATTCTGGCTAATGTGAGTATGGATAATATATCGTATATAATATATAAGTATTTATATAAGGTGAAAATACTGAAAAATGTTCATCTCAAAAATTTTCTACATTTTTGGAGTCATGAAATAGTAGTTTCTGCAATAAGAGTGGACATAGACATTCCACTTGAGTTGTACAGTATATTTTTTCTACGACACTCTAACGAAAATCTATAAATTTAAAAAATTATTTTAAGTTAAGACAAAATAACTAATCTTAAAATTATTTATGAATTTTATTAATTTATAAAATAAAATAAACAAAAAAAATAACCTCTAGCTTAGATTCTAATCCGGGCTATTTGTGTGGAAGGCAGTTGCTCTGTCCTCATCTTCACCGCCACTTTTGAGTTTTTCTCTCCTCGTTTAACTACCTGGCTTGTTAGGTCCGACCCAAACAGGGATTTATAATCGAAACAGAAACTAAATTTAAGCTTCTTTCTTAGTTTTGGCCGAAACAGAAACAAGACTTTTCTTTTAAGACAATGTTTTATTGAAATTTGCAATATCTTATTGTAATCCTTGTTTTAGACTTATAAACTCATATAAATTTTAGCTACATTTACTTATTATCTATTTATTTATGTGATCAAAAGAAGTTTTTTGAAATAAAAAAAAGTAAGTGAATTACAAAGTAGCAATCATTTCTGCATCTGCAGTAGATTTTTTGTAACAAAAATAATATTATAAAGGCAATTATATACAGGCTGTTTCAAAAAGATTGGTCATAAATTATACCACATATTCTTGGGTCAAAAATAGGTCGAATAAACCGTAATATATAGGTAAGCTATATACAAAAGTGCACTCAAAAATTTAAATGAATTTTTTTAACGTTACTCTTAAACCGTTTGGCATTTTTTCATGAAATTTTATATGACGTGTTAGAATACCATGACTAATAATACCGAGGAAGAGGCAATATTTTTTTCTTGATTTTTATAGGTTTTTGGAGGGGGTCACCGCTCTTTTCTCCACTCAACTTTTTTGTAGTAAAAAACGAATTCAGCTGATAAAATATGTTTGTTACTTATTATTATTATTTTTTTTTTTTTTAATTTGGTGTCATCGGCATCGACTACTAAGGCCATTAGCCTCGTGTTCTGTGTAGGCTTTGTTACTGTTTTCCAGCGCCACTTTAGGAACAGCACTGTTAATTAGAACCCAACAGTGAATGGTCGAGTTGTTACTTATTATTAAATTAATATTCATAAGTAAACAGTCTAACGGTGTAGGCTAGAAGTAATATTTTTTTCACGTATCCACCCAAAAAATTGCTTTTCCGATCCGAATAAATTAGGCCAGGAGCACTGAAGACTGTTCACATGGAACATAGCAGAGAAGTTTGTGTTTACGTGCACTATGCAGGAATGGCACCCAGCACAGTCGCCATTGTGCCGGACACCACCAAGTATGATGCGAAAACTCTTGAAAATAGTTTCGCTTTCGGCTGCATTTTCGGCTAGATTTCCGCCGAAACCGAAACTAGTTGAAACTCTTATTTTAGGCCGAAGTTGGCTAAAACCATAACCGACCCTTCGGTCGGACACAATTTGCGAGTCTGGCAGGCCTTCATGATTGTAAATGTCAGCCAGACGTGTATTTTCATTTAGAATACGGTAAAAAAATTTTACACCAAAATATAAAAATTTTAAAACTTGACAGAAATGCATTAAAACGACTAAAATCAAATTTGCAAAGATGGCCATACCATGGTCATTTGTCATATCTGAAGTCGTTTAGTTGACGCGAAATACCTAATTATTATTTTACTTAAAATAAATGTAATATATTTCTAGCTAGTTGTAATTGGTATTAAATAAAATATTAACCACTGAAATAGCAAATTTTTTAATCACACTATTGCGTTGCGTCATAACATATGCATAAAAGAGCTCCTTAAGTGTCAAAAAAAAAATTCAGTTTTATTTCTTTCAGGGTACCCACCAAGAGAAAAATGTCCTCTGGTTGTCATGGAAGCGTTTTAAAATAACAGCATTTGATCGGCTATAAAATAGAGGTGTAAAATTATAAATTATTCTATCATGTGACAAAAGCAAAAATTATATATTTTTACGGTTTTGAAAATGTTGCCGGACTCCTTTGCCAAATTCAAAAATCAGCCAGACATTATTATTTACAAGTTATGATTGTATCAATTGATTTGAAAAAATTTCGAACCTGGAAAATTATCAGCCAATTTTTTTAATCCAAAAATTTTCAGCCAAACTCAATTTTCGCTATCTGACATAAGCCAGTCTGCTATTTTTATAAACTTTATGTTCTAGTGTAGTAAATGTAAAATATTTATGACTAGGAAAAAAAGTGCCAGACTCAAAAATTTTGTTTTTTATCACTAAGGACCGATTCCACCGTTGTGTTAAACGAAGTTTAAAATGACATTGTTAATGTAAAAATGTCATTTTAAACTTCGTTTAACACAACTGTGGAATCGGTCCTAAGAGAACAGATTATTTTCATATACACTGACTGGAAAAATGACTACGAAAAAAAATCACTGCCTCCTAGATTAAATGTAGAATTGCAGAATTAATCAAATAGCCCAATTCTTTTTGTTTTTTAATTTCTGTTCTGAAATGTGTGGGTGTGTGATAAATGTTTGAGTTATTTTTGGGGGGCTAATTTGGTTTTTGGGGGGCTTAGCTCCCCCAAGCCCCCCCTTAACTTCGCCCATGGTGCAGTGCAACAAGTGTAAAAGTTGGTCACATGAAGCATGCATCCAAAAGAGGACTTGTATAACTGTCATAATAATTGTGATTCGAAATGATTTTTTTTTTCAAGATTAACACTTTCCTCTTTAAAAAAGTAGGGTTGTTTCTGTATTATTTCTTATTTCTTTGAATAAATATTTGTTGTTTTTATTTTTTAACATTGTGTTACTATAGATCCCGTATAATGTTATAACCGCCGCGTGGTCGGGTCCGATTGTAACATTTAACCCCTTTCTTATTTTTTATGAATAAATTTTATTGTACTGATCCTAAAATTTTAAATAATAACGTCATGAAATTCCTAAATCCGAATCTGTCTAAGCAAGCGGCCTTCACGTCTGTGGCAGCCGAGGCGACGGAATATTCTGGGAATGCCGCTGAGGTTCGAGAAACGGGTAGAACGGGCGGAGTGTGCCGTTCGGGAACGTCTGGATACTTCTAGTAGCAGAGTTCGACTTAATACAAATAGCCGACTCATCGTCGAGCAGTTTAGTATAAAGTGTTAGACAGAAAAGTAAAATTGTAAATAATTAGAATTGTTAGTTAGTGCCTAAGTATTATATAAATTTATTAGTACGTCTGAAATAAATTGTAAATAGTGTGTTTTAAATAAATATACTATAAATAAATTAAACTATTGTTACAATACATTATAATAATTTGAAGTATCTAATTAATATAATAAATATAATTGTTTTACCGAGATTGAGAATTAAATTTAAATTGTTACTATAGACCCTGGTCTACTCTACTTATATGTGCACAATTCCCCATTTTCTCCTATAATTCAGTATTGCAATTCAACAATTAAAAGTCAAAAAAGTGTTTGCATTCAAAATTGGCAAGAGTCCGAGAAATTAGAAAAGTATTCAGTAATTTCAACCATATATACAACGCGAAAATTGCCGAAAATATAATTAAAATCAATCGGAACTAATAGATGTTCGATTATTCCCTTACATGCGTTATCCGAGTGGTACACTTATACTTATCCCTAAATTATCCTTCACAGTTGATAGCATACCACGTGGATATCCTGCGGCTGCGTCAACCAAAATATTGATTTATTAATGCAGGAGTATTGCAGGAAAAGAACATGCTTGCTGCTGAAATGCCATAAAATGTTCTGAAAATAGTTCGAAAAAATAGTGAAAAATTGGGTTTTTTTAGGGGTTTTAGTTTTAGTGGAGTATGTGATTGTGTTGTGTTTAGGGGAATAACAGTATACGGTGAGTTTTAGTGTTTCTTTTTTGATCAAATTGATTAGGGAATTGTCAGTGTCATCGAGCATAAACAGAAGACACTGAAAAGTGGTCGATAAGATTTATATAATAACATCAGAATTGATTAAGAAATAATAGGTATAAAAGTAAAAACAAATTTTATTGGTGGAGTAACTTTTCTAATGTACAAAAAAATTTAATTTGCCACTATTTAATCACACAAAACTGTTAAGATATGTTTTGGTCTACTTATTAGGTAGTAAATATCCAAAAATCATGATTATTTCGGTTATCTTGAAACAATTATAGTACTTTTAAACGGTCTTATTTTTTAAAAATATTAAATAAAGTGGTATAAAATTATTAGCAACAACATGGTCTATATACCCTACAATGGTATTATATTTTGTTATAAGTATTTAATGTCTTTCAGGTATTTAAAAATATTATTACAATTAGAGCCGATCTTTTCACCTATGAGTAAAGTTACATATAGGTTTACTATAGTTTAATCAGCAAGTAGTTACTTTCAACTTTAATCAGAGGTGAAAAGACTCCCCCTTAGTTTTATTCAGTATATTCAGTCTCTGGATAGTAAAGTGCACATATGAGTAATTATTATAATTTATTTGTGGTATTTTTTTAGAACTAAAATAATAAAATGAATGTTTTATTAAAGGTTCAAGTGAGTTCTACCTAGCCAAGTTGTGCTAGATTCTTATGTTGGTTTACTTAAAGAAATATAGAGGTCGCTTATTTCCTTATTTGATTCTTTTATAGTTTTCTTTTAGCCAAAGTACTATTATTTTTAAATAAAGTTATTAATGATCTTTAATTAAACGTCCCTAATCTTGTAAAATTTTATTAGAGGGGGAGGCACGGATTAATATGGAGTTATGTGCCTGCCGGAAATCATTACTATATTTTAATATTTTAAAGTAACACTCACTTAAGTGAAAATTGTAAAATATTAGAATAATCGTATGTCTATGATAGAATATACATCCGCTCGAATAACACAAGTCCGTCACAGCACTCAAGAAATTTTATTCTCATGACTCGAAAAGTGTTTGACAATTTTTAACGATCTTATTCTCGTTTGATAGATGACTTAATACTCTAAAAGGATATGTATTTAATATTATACAGGGTGTTATATTTAATCCAGTTAAAAGGTTTAAGTGGAAATTATAATCTCAAACAGTGCAAACGAAATGTCACAATTTATTTTTATAGGTCAAAATTTAATAAAACGATCAGTTAAAGCTTCAAACTGTTTAACAAACAATAACTCAAAAAAAAAGGTATTCAAAACATAATTAGTCTTCACAAAGTATAAACAAAGTTATCTACATACTGGGTCATAATATTGTATGTATGTGTATGGAAGATTCAGGTATCGTGGTCTTTAACGTTATTGGATACAGGTAGATTGTGATAATAACGATGAAATTCATTAGATGTAGCAACTAATTTACAAAGTTTTAGTTTTAATCTTCTTGCACTTTTTGTAAGTATTTTCGAAGCTTTTTTTCACCCTTTCAGGCATCCTTCTATTGGTTTTTAAAGGTTAGCTGTATCGCGTAAAGAAAGGGTGACGTAATCACCTTGTAGATTTCGTAACAATCGTGAAAGGCCAGAGACGGTTCTAGGCAAAACAAGACAAATGTTTTGAGCAAAATGTTAAAGTATTTCAACAAACACATTCGACAAAAATAGGTATTCTGGCCTTTATCTTGTTTTGGCAAAAATATATACTATCAGGATTCAGATTAAATACATTTAGCAAAATAAGTTATGTGTCTCTCATGTGGACAAAATATTAGCAATTGAACACAATGTTATGATTATGTTTCGGTATAAATGTCACGCATCTTGTTTGTGCATATTTTGAATGTATTAATTTGGAGTTTTTATTGGCCATCTGTTGATCATAAATAATATAGATTTCGTTCCACTTGTCTTGTTTATGCCGTATATTATTTAAACTATTTTGGAGACGAAACTATTAACTCGAAAATGTCAAAATTGAAGTATCTTATTTTTGCAGTATCCCCACGAATTCCAAACGTTTATTTAAAAATAAGTGTGATATTTAGGGCAGTGTCGAAGAATATTTTCGCGTATTTCGCTTAATATTTTAAAAATAGAAAGTTATAATTTTAAAAAAGCACCTTCTTATTAATGTTTCGGGCCGCAAAAAAAAAATGAAGGGCCGCATGCTTCCTGCGGGCTGCAGGTTAAGTATGGCTGGTCTAGAAGCATGCGCAGTATGCATGACTTGCCCCTGTAGTGTTGCTAAGTATATTAAACATACCTAACACAAGAGAATTTTTAATTTTTAAATTATATGATTTAAACAATTTATATTTACGAAATATCGCCACAAAATAACTTATAAACATTTAAATAATCAACTAATAATATTTATGTGTAATTACATTTCCAAAAATATATACAAATACGGTATTAATGTTCAACAAGCGATTCACATACAAATACAATATTGACCTGGCTATACCACTTAAACCTCGAGTTTCAAGGCTATATGTCGTTGCCCTTACAGGACCGTTTGTGATATTTTGGATTGAATTTGTGGTTTATTATTTAATTACACGGTGAAACTGGCATTTTATTTTTAGTTTTGTATAGTTAAATCCTAGGTACAATAAAAGACATTTTCACATTGGCTAATGAAAATGTAATCAATGTATTTAGAAGCTGTTATATTTATTAAAAGATTTATGTCTGGAAATCTAAACGTACCTAAGAATTTTAGTTATGTAAATAGAGAGCTGTATATTTATATACAGGCTGTCCAGCAACGGAAGACATTATCGGTATCTGACAAAACAATGAATGATTTTTTGTTAAAAATAGTAAACAGGTTATGATCTTTCCATCTAAAATATTCTGGAAGTTGTTATTTCCGTTTTATTTTAAATGAGATGCCACTTCCATTATTCCTGATGCCGATGGAACATTAAATGTTGCTTATTTGGAATATATACCTTTACACAACACTCATGACGTCCGAGACCGTGTTTCAGTCGGGTATAATTTAAAATAATTTGAAAATAAACCCTATTAAATTGTACCTTTGTCTAACATTTATGGCATCACTGGCCAAGTTGGCATCGGTTATATTTTCAAATGAAAAAACTTAACATTAACCCTATTAACTCTTTCAGGACAGAATTAATTTTTTTGAAAAAAATTACTTCAAATCATTAAACTTTTGTTCATTACAATTCTTTTGACCTAAAGACATATGATATATAAATTTATGAAGGTTCTTGTGTCCTGCAGGATGTGGTCTTCGTTACTAACCATTAGGCACTTCGGCTACTTAGATTGAAATGCTGTAAGACAATTTCTTTCTTTGTTGAGGCACAACCCTGACACAACCCTACAACCCTACGTCACAATTTGCACATTTCCAAATTGTTCTATGTACGTATTAAGCAGTAGCTGCGCCCTCTGATTAAAAATATAGTAAATAAACTGTGCATGTCGGTCAGCATTTAGCCGCTCCTCTATTTCTATGGCTGTAAGCCGTTTTTCTAGTTATTTGTACTTAACTCCTTTCTTCTTCTTTTCTTCTTCGAGTCTGCCCTGAAAGGCCTTTTACTTTTGTATCTTGTCAACAGTAGCGAAGAGGAGAAAAAAATTAATTGACTTATTTTAATTAAAACCTAGTTGTAAATAATTAAATTATACTAGAAAAATTATAATAATTTATAATAAGTTTGTCATTCTCATCATGGACATTTTTTGGACATCCATTGGACTTCTGAATCGGTATATCCATATGGATGTCCAATGGACATCCATATGAAGTTCATAGACACCCAGGACATTATTTGGACAAAATCTGGACGTCGTGTGCTATCTGGGTCAGAACCTTTAAATTTTCATTATTACTTATAAACTAGTTATTCAAAGGCGATTTGGCAGTTTTACCCCCCCCCCCCCTCTCCAATACTAATATGCTAAATGAAAGATAAGGAGAGCATTTGTTTTTATTGACTTCAATTATCTGTCCGTTCCGAGTATATCATAGTGCATGGGGCAAAACACAGGTTTATTTTGTTGAAATCCATTTGTATTAACTCTGACAGTTCTTTTGCTAGTGTATTCTGACGTAAATTCACCATCCCCACACTTGTCATGGTAATGACTAATAGTCTATTTAAAATAACGGTAAAAGGTCGAGAAACGCCGCACCTGACGAGACCTTTTGTCCCCTACGTATTTTGGGGCGCTGATTACGAAAATGAGGGTTAAAACTGACAGCAATGGTTGGAACACCCCCAAAATTACAAAAAACACCCCTGAATAGGGGTGTTCCAACCATTGCTGATAGTTTTAACCCTCATTTACGTAGTCAGCGCCCCAAAATATGTAGGGGACAAGTGGTCTCGTCAAGTGCGGCGTTTCTCGACCTTTTACCGTTATTTTAAATGGACCATAAACAAAAGTCCAAATCCCGTGGTGAGGCACACTGTAAATTCCAAAATATTTTTAAATAATAGCTTCAATAGATGTTCATCTGCCTGTATAAAGGTAATTTAAAAAATAATGTATTATGTCATAGTCTATACCGACCTGTATAAGCTGCCCCACCTTGTATGTTTTACAAATGGCTCTAATGTAACTGGGATAATAACATTTATAATTGAATTATTATAATATTTGTCCATTACCTTGTTCTTGGACCATTCGACCCGGTTCTGTGGAGGACATACGTGGGACCGTGTAACCAACCGTTCTTTAGTAAGGGATACACGTGGCGGATAATATCCTCGAATGCATTATTAGTATTATTATTATTATTATTATCATATGTGATATATACAGATAATATAATTATTTTTATATTACTAAAAAGTAATAATTACTCAAATTGACTGTAATAAGCACTACAATTACAGGCCTATCGCGCAAATAGTTACATTTACAATGATATAGCTCGGAACGGACAAGTAATTGAGATGAGTCGTAATGAAAAGAAATGTTCTTCATAAAAAGATCTTTCAATTGGTATATAACTTATCCCAATTGGAGGTGAGGCAATTTCCCATACATTTCTGCTCATTGTCCTTTATAATTCGACTTTTCGTGTTTAAGGAATTACCCTTAGATAGAATATTTTAAATAAGGATTTTGAATTTTTCATTTTCGTTACCCTAATTGACAAACCTCGTAACTCCACCTTTTGCAAAATTCACATTTTTATGCCAACTTGTATAGAAGAAGAAACCTCTATTACATGTTTCAAACCTCATAAATCCAGAATAATATTATTCTGGATTTTAGGTTCTGAATTTATGAGGTTTGAAACATGTAATAGAGGTTTTTTTTCTCTACAAAATGTGAATTCAGCAAAACGTGGAGTTACAAGGTGTGCTAATTAAAGTAACGTTTTAATATCATGTTTGAAATTGTTTTCTTTATTTTTTTTTTTTTTTTTTCAGAAATTTAAATGGGTATTTTACAAGATTTTGGTAGCAGTCTAACTCACTGGTCATTCGGACTATTCATATTAATTGGATTAGCAGCATCTGAATACTCAGGAGCAGAAACAGTCTTATGCATTTTAATTTCGGCAATAGTTTCAATAATTTCAGGTAAGACTAAATATAAACAAACCATAATTTTTTATTTACTTTATTGTTTCATAATCAGTTGAGCTGACGCTAAACGATCGTTTTATTTACGCTTTGTTTTCTTAACCTCAAATTTTTAACATTATACCTTTAATTATAAGCAAAATATTAATTATTACTACCGTGTATTCTTTTTCATACCGAATATTCATTTCTTTTAATCAAAAACGAGACATAAATAGAAACGTAACCAAAATGTTAAAAAGCAGAATTGACAGAGATTCAAGATCAACTTCATAATTTTAAAGCATACTCTATTTGTGTCTTTATAATTATCCATCATGATTCGAAAAGCAGTGAAACGGTTGACAGTTCATCGTCACTGATTACACATCATTATAACACGGTTGCCGATGGTGAATACAGCCATTGTCTTGCTACATAAAAAATAATTTGGATTTTATTCGGAAAAGAAAAAAAAATAATGGTCTTTCGAACAGAGATAATGAAACCCAAAGATAACAAATGAGACATAATTCTAACCAACCAAATAAATTGGAAGGTTAACTCACTCTTAAATGTACCTACACCTCTACGGTTTTTATTAATATTTGAGTTTAAATTTGGCAACTCAGACAGGATTAGTTTAGTTATATCGCACTTAAATTACGGTGATGTGGTTTATGGTCCAAACATCCGCAAATTTGATTCCAATCGATTACAGAAGTTACAAAATTCATGTGTAAGATTAATTTGTGGCATTAGGAGAAGGGAACATATTTCGCACCATATTAAAAGAATTGGTTGGTTAACCACAATTCAACAACGAGTATTGAACGCTTGCTGTCAGTTTAATTCAATTATTTCTAAGAAAACACCTCCGTATCTTTACAACAAAATAAGATTTAGGACAGACGTACATAACGTCAATATTCGTTGGAAGAATAGATTAACCATACCATTACACCGAACACGTGCTTACAGAGGTTCGTTTTCATATCAAATCGCTCATCTTTTTAATTGGTTTCATGACAAACATGGTAATTGCAGTAATAAATTAAATTTTAAGAAACAGTTGAAGAATGATTTACTAAATAGTGTTATGACACCACCAGATTTTTAATATAATATTATATATTTTGTTGTTCTCTGATTTTTTTAGTATGTCTCTTATTTTTATTTTTAGAAGTTTAGTTAGTTTTTTTTTTTTTTTTTTTGTTAAATAGATAATTCTTGTACAAAAATTAAATGTACATGGTTGGGTGGAAGAGCAGAGTTACTTAAAGGCAGTTCATCTACCTTTAAAGAACACTGAACCCTGCCAATTGACATAAGTCATATATGTATGCATAATGTCAATAAAAGCATTTATTATTATTATTATTATTATTATTATAAACTGAAAATGTTTATTAATTTTAAAAAATACATCGTTCAGTGCTTCTAAAGCGAGTAATTTTAGTGTAATTAAAGAAAGAAGAATTCTTAAAAAATGAGCATCTACTCAAAGAGTAGCTATATTAATTTTTAATACTTTTTATTAAAAATCGAGATCCTTTATATTGCGTTTACACAAAAGATTATTAAAATTTTAAATTATATTTCACTGGTCTTTTCCAAATACTTGAAACACCCGTTACCTAGTAGCTTCTTTGCGATATTTACGTGCCAAAATTTTAACTAATGAATCACACTTTTTTGTTTGTTTCCTTATCGCCGCCAGCATGCGGCCGTCAGAATACTTCTTTGTGTGATATGTGTTGCATTAAAATATAAAAATACAGAGTGTAATTGAATCGGTGAGTGAAAGAACAGTACAAGTGCCAAAAACGGTAACTTTAACTGAGATAGGCAAATTGTTTAAAATTCATAGGCCTATCACATAGCGAAAGAATAATACACAGACCAACATCATACGAGCGATGGGGGCTTGTTCAATTTTCGGTTGAGTGAAAGAACAGTACAAGTACGGCGCATGTACTGTTTTTTCACTCAGTAGCCATGTCGTTTCGTAGACAAATTTAACACAGATTTCAAAAACTGGTGGTCGCACTTTCATAAAAAACCTCTAAATTAGCTGATGAACAAAAAGCTAATTTTGTCATTCCACAGCCAGTTTACATACAGTGGTAAAACTTCGGGATATGTTACTACAAGTGCCTTCATAGGCGGTTTTCTCTCGCACACTTTTATGTGTGGGGCGCATTAGACTGATATCAAACCTAATCTACAGTTACCATTATGGCGGGCATACACGCTACGGTCTCTCTATGCAGTTGTCCCTGTACAGGTAGACACGCACGCTACGACATAAAGCCGACCTGCGCAAGCATACTTGCACAGGTAGGCTTTTCCGGTAGACCGTTACGTGCAGTGTTGCCAGATTATATTTTTGTAATGTACCAGATTTATCTAAAAAATGTACCAGATTTCACAAAAATGTACTAGATTCTATAAAATTACCAGATTTTTCTAATTGTGAAGTATGGTCATTAAAGAGGAGAAAAAGATTTATAGAGAACACGAACACAACAATTTTAAACAGTATTTTATCACTCGACAAATTTCTGACACTATTTTATCTCTCGAGCAGTTTTTGAATAAGATTTTAATACCTTCTGATACTCTTTTATCTCTCAAACAGTTTTTAAATCTTCTTTCTCTTGAGCTATTTTGAAACAATATTTTATCTTTCGATAAATTTCTAACAGTATTCTATCTCTCGAGCAATTTTTAACAACTTTCTTTTATACCTCGAGCAATGTTTGTACAATTATTAACACTATTTAATCACTCGAGACATTTTTAATAGCCTTTTTTACCTTTCAAGCTATTTTTAAACAATATTTGATGTCTCGTGCAATTTTTGAGCAAAATTTTAACAATTTCTAACACTATTTTATCTCTCGAGAAATTTTTGAAGAAGGTTTTACACCATTTGATAATATTTTATCTCTCGAACAGTTTTTAAACAAATTTCTAACAGTATTCTATCTCTCGAGCAATTTTTAACAACTTTTTTTATCTCTCGAGAAATGTTTGTACTAAATTTTTTGTACAATTTTTAACACTATTTAATCACTCGAGCAATTTTTAACAGCTTTTTTACCTTTCAAGCTATTTTTGAACAATAGTTGATCTCCCGTGCAATTTTTAAGCAAAATTTTAATAATTTCTAACACTATTTTATCTCTCGAGCAATTTTTATTAACATTTTTTATCTATCTAACAATGTTTAGACAATGTTTTATCTCTCAAGAAATGTTTAACAGTATTTTTTAATTCTCGAATAATTTTTAAATAAGGTTTTAATAATTTATGATACTATTTTATCTCTCGAATAGTTTTTAAACCTTTTTTTATCTCTTGAGCTATATTTAAACAATTTTTTATCTCTCGATAAATTTCTAACATTATTCTATCTCTCGAGCAATTTTTTACAACTTTTTTATCTCTTTAGAAAACTGCACAATATTTTAACTCTCGACAAATTTATAAAAATATTTTAACTCTCAATAAATTTTTAACAATGTTTTATATCTCGAGCAATATTTGTACAATATTTTATCTCTCGAGCATTTTCTAATAGTATTTTATTCCTCGAGTAATTTTTGAACACGATTTTAACAATTTATACTATTTAATCTGTCGAAAAATTATTAAATATTTTTATCTCTCATTAAATTTCTAACAGTATTTTTATCCCTAGAGCAATTTTTGAACAATATTTTACCCCTCAAGCAATTTCTAATACTATTTTATACTTCGACAAATTTTTAACACACTTTTTTACCTCTCAAGCCATTTTTGAACAATATTTGATCTCTCGTGCAATTTTTAAACAATGTTTTATATCTCGAGAAATGTCTACTATTTTATCTCTGAAGTAATTTTTAACAACTATTTTAATTTCTCTTGCAATTTTTGGCCAATATATTTTACACTTCAAATGGAAACGTACGCTGAAAAAAGTACTAGATTTTGTTTCGAGTGTACTAGAGTACCATATTCTCAGAGAATGTACTAGATCTAGTACAATTGTACTAGACTGGCAACACTGGTTACGTGTATGCTCGCCATTAGAAAAGGCATACTCAGAAGTTGTCCCTATTAACGTAAAGAAGATAGCCAATATAAAGATACTTTTATTCTACTTTAGTGATGAAATCCTAGAGTTTTACTACCATATATTATTTCTTGCAAAGTCAAAAATGAAGATTCTGATTAAAAAATTACAAATAAGTTTGTTAAATAATAATCAATGAAGCTACAAAAAAAAAATTAAAGCATTTTTTTTAAATTGAGTGAAAGAAGAGTATAACTGCAAGTCATTTTTTTTAAATATCATATTTTGCATAATTTTATTTTTAAATTTATGTCCATATTATTATCGATTAACAAAAATTCTATAACTTCACAATACATAATTATGCCGAATAACCCATAGTTCTCCTTTAAAATAGTTTTTTTTGTTTTTCTCAAAATGGTCATTTTGGATATGTATTGTTCTTTCACTCACCGATTCAATTTTATTTTAAACCGAGTGAAAATTATTAAATAGGGTTAATAGAAGAGAAAAGAAAAAAAAACGAAACGTGAGGAAATATCTAGGAAAAATAAGATGTTGCAGAGTATGATGATTATTCGTTTTCATCTGTTACGTCGAAAGAATGATGTAAGTCAATGAAAAATTATTACATGAAATAGTTTTTTGATACATTATGCTATAGTCTACTTGGAAAGAAATAATATATGGCGATACAGTCCAATGTATTGAAAGTTTTAATCTCTGTGAAGCTGGCCCCCCGAAATTCGAAAATTTTAGTTTTAAAAGCAGCATACGTTTGACCACCTATTGACCATGTTTGACCACCCACTAACTTTTTTTGACCACCCTCAGAAACCTTAATATTTAGAAAAATATTAATGACCAAGTGCCCGCTGGTCCCCCGAAGTTAATATTTTTTAAAACTAACTGCACCATAAGATTAACCAATTTTTGACCATGTTTGACCACACCTTAGAAATTATTTAACACCCCTTAAAATAATTTAAAGGTGGTAAAATATAGAAAAACAAGAGTTCCGAGATGAATTTCAACTTTAAAAGATAGACCAATGGTCAGAAAGACACAATAGGATCTAAAAACGTTTAAAATTATGTACCGCCGTTTAATCACTCCCTAAAATATCTTGAAAGACCCCAGAGAAGTTGAAAATTCAAATAAAATATTTCCCAATCCAATTTCTAGTTCAAAAAAATGGTCAATCGACATAAGGACAAAATAAATATCCATAAAGGTTTATAATTATGTTTTGACGTTTGACCTACCCCTAAAATAATATTATAATTTATGGAACGAACTTTCTTACAGGTAAATCAATTAATATTCATTTCTGTATAATATTATAATAATAGCAGTTGAAATATGGAAAGTACAGTATGTCGCTAATGTATGGAATAAATTCATTATTTCTAAAATAATCGACTTTTGAAAAAAATCCAAAAACAGGTCAATTTTAATTTTTGAATCGTCATCACATGATGTAGATGTAACGAATATTACGTCACCAATATTACCGTGGTGACGTAATCGGCAATTTTTTTAAATGCAACCATGTGTCTCAAAACACCTCATTGGAAAGGTCTTCTAATCGTCTTTACAACGATGTAATTATTTGAATATTTATTTCTACAGGGTCGACCAAAACTGTTTATTTACTAAAATACATAAAACTGTTTAGTAAAAAACAATTAAATTATATTAAATGTTCAAACTGATGACCTTCAGCAATAATGCAATGAGACAGCCGAGCAGTAAATTCGTCTCTAACGTTTACGAGAACTTCAGGCGTTATTTGTGCAATCTCCGTTCTGATGCGATCCTACAACTCTTCTATATCATTTGGGCGACTTTGATAAACTTTGCTCTTCAAGTATCCCCATAAGAAAAAGTCTAAGGGTGTCAAATCTGGCGACCTTGGTGGCCATTCGATCGTTCCTCTTCTTCCTATCCACATATCTGGAAAAACAGCATTTAAGTAGGTTCGTACATCAAAGGCGTAATGTGGGGGTGTCCCATCCTGTTGAAACCACAAATCACATCTATTTGGAAATAGTTGATTTAATTGTGGTAATAGATAATCCTGAAGAAATTGAAGATATCGAGGACCGGTCAAGTTTCCTTCAAAAAAATATGGCCCTATTATTTGATTATTTATAATGCCGGCCCAAACATTCACCTTTTCAGGATATTGTGTCGTATACTCCTGCATCCAATGGGAATTTTCACTTGCCCAGTATCGATATGTCTGGCGGTTTACATGGCCGTTGAACATAAAAGTTGCTTCATCCGAAAAAAGTATATTTTTTATGAAATTACGATCTTTGTTAGATCGTTCCATAATTGTTTCACAGAATTCAATTCTCCTATCAAAGTCATCTTCTAACAGCTCTTGGACCAAATGTACCTTATACGCATGCCACTTCTCCTTTTTCAGTACTCTAGCAACAGTAGAATAGTGTAAATTATTATCCAGCGCAACTTGTCTCGTGCTGGTGTGGGGTCTTTCTTGAAACTCTAGTAAAACGTTAACTTTTTGTCTTCGGAAATTGACTTTCTACCACTTTTGGGGAGATCTTTAACATGGCCCGTTTCTCGAAACTTTTTCTCGATTTTACTAATTGTTGATTGAGAAATGGGTTCACGATTGGGGTATTTAGCATTAAATAAATTGCCAACTTCTCTCTGTGTCCTTACTCTATCTCCATAGCCAATCATCATTAATATTTCGATTCGTTCAGTTTCTGTAAGCTTCATTACTAAATTATGCTAATTTAAAGATTTTAACTATTGAACACTTGACTGATACACATCAATTAGTGTTAAATTAGAATTTAGTACTATTATCAGTAACATATCCAAAATACAGAAATATTTTTTGGGTACACTACGATGTTTTATTTCCAGTGGCGGTCCTTACAATAACTTAGTTCAGTGAATCAGAATTTATGATTAAGATTTTAGTAAATAAACAGTTTTGGTCGACCCTGTAGAAATAAATATTCAAATAATTACATCGTTGTAAAGACTATTAGAAGACCTTTCCAATGAGGTGTTTTGAGACACATGGTTGCATTTAAAAAAATTGCCGATTACGTCACCACGGTAATATTGGTGACGTAATGTTCGTTACATCTACATCATGTGATGACGATTCAAAAATTAAAATTGACCTGTTTTTGGATTTTTTTCAAAAGTCGATTATTTTAGAAATAATGAATTTATTCCATACATTAGCGACATACTGTATAAACGCTGTTAGAAATTCCAGTGAATTCTACTATTTCCAAAAGTGGTGATCTAAAAAAATAAACAAGAAATGTTTACTAGACAATTTTTTCAAAGATACAGTCATTTTTATAAAAAATATACTACTAGATAATTTCTGTTTCAGGATTATGTTCCTCTTCAGCAAAAGAACCTCAAGAACATTACAGGAAAAAGAAACTTTCCGACATTGTAGATTTCCTAATCGTGTGGCTTGATATTCTTATGAATTTAGTAGCAGGAGCGACTTGTGCTAGATTGGCAAGTGCCACAGTGGATTATATAAGTAAAGGCCATTTTAGGGAATTTCTGTTTGGTATGGAACAACATTCGCTTGGAGAACCTTGGCCGGATGTGCTTGGAGTAACTATTATAGTTGTGGTTACACTCTTGTTTATGATGGGGTTAGAAGTAAGTTGTTTAAAATAATGTTTTAGCGACATATTATTTAAATATAAATAAAAATTTCCTGGGTTTATTCGATCATGTTTCGGAAAATTGTTTTTCCTTTTTCTGGTGCAGTTAAAATTTATTAAAACATGGGGGACGATTACAACCAGTTTAAATTTTTTAAAATAACAGAGAACCAACTTTGTTTCACAGCATGGGTGTATTCCTAGATAACAACAATTATCCGGCAGAATTTTACAATCAAAAGAAGAATTAATCAAATTAAGTTTTCAAAAATTATTATTATTAATAATAAAGACTATAATTCCATTCACATTAGTACATTTAGGACAAACAATATCTACATAAAAGAATAAAAAAAAAAACATAAAAATATTATCGCAACTAATAATGAAAATTCCATTGCCTTAACTAAACATGCGTTAGAAAATTTGCACTCTTTCGATTTTTAAAATGTAAGAATTTTCGAAAATGAATCAAATCTCAACAAAAGAATAATCCTTGAGGTAATAAAACAGACATAAAAGATTTGTCAAACGTTTATTTTAATAATATTAAGTAATTGTAAGCTTTTTAATCCTTAACTCCGCAGGTAATTTTTAACTTTGTAAAAACTCATCTTTTTCTTTTCATTCTGTATCTAAGTATAAATGTTATTTTTTTGTAGTGACCTTTAAAAATAATCAAATGATAAATTTATTTTTCTTTTCAGAAATCTTCAGCTATATCAATTTTAATAACGGTAACTTTAATATGGACTTTTATATTTTTTAATATTGTTGGAAGTATTCATACTGTGATAAAATTCCGAAAATGGTGCGAAACTTTTAGAGTACACTCTTTTAGAAAGGTGAGATTTTATTTAATTACTGTCAAAAAATATAACTCCAATTGATCAAAAAAAAAAAAAAATAATGGTACACAAAAAAAAACGATACAGAACGTCAAAAAAACTGTCAACTCAGATTTACTAACGAATGGAAACATAATATAGCAAATGTAATAAATTGTCATTGGCATTATTACATTTTGTTCTAAAATGATTGTTTATACATACATTATCTGTACATGTCTTCTTCTTTTTAGGTTTTAAGAGCTGCCGCAAAATGCTTCTTCGCATTTGTACATATTTTTCCTAAATTACAAAATAATAACTGTATCAAAATGTCGGCAATAATTTTTACACCTTTAACATTCTACACAACAACTGCAATAATATTTTCTATGATGACTCATCGCAAGTAAGTATGAGAATAATTATTATTGTGCCGGATACTTTGTCTAGAGAAATTTTTGTAACTAGCTGGTAGCATTGAAACATTTATGATAGAAATATTGGTTTAAACCTGCGAAGCTTTTACTACTTTATCGCCGACTTTCTTTTCTTCCCTTTCATATTTCTTATAGCATTCTGCACAGTGTTCACGTACTTTCTTTACTTTCTTCAGGAAATGATCTTTTTATCTTTTAGAAATATTCATACTTTACATTTAAAATTGGACTAACTAAAATTAATTTATTTAAAGTCGCATTTATATTATCAGTGAGATTGTTCATGCAGCCAATCTAATGACATTTTTTTATATAATAAGACAACATTGCAACGCTAATTTATTCCTTTGTAGCGAACTCATTGGGACAGCTATTCCGCTAGTTCAAGTTTTCGAGAGTCGAGATGTAGATTGGGCGCGACCGATCATGGCGGCCTCCACGATTTTTGTAGTATGTTTGATACTGACCGAAGTTTTACCTACTGTTTATAATGCCTTCGTAAAACTCGCAAGCAAAGAATGGAGGATATTTGTTCCGTCTATTCAGTACAGAACTGCTGGTACAGGAGCACCAATTTTAGCTATTTTTGCAGCAGGTAAGACTAATATTATCTATTGATAAAATGTAACCTTTGAGTACTTTCATGGCAAATAGATAACATTAGATTGAAAATTTTTCTTACTACTGATACAAAATTAATGAAAATCTCTTACCTTTAATGGGTTTCCAGACAGACATAATATCATTAAATTTTAATTTAACAAATGCCGCAAGTTAAGCATTTAAAATTATTACAATCTGATGATTAAGATCAATTAGAAATTTTGTTCTAACCTATTTAGGGATGAAAAACTTCATAAACGAAGGTTCTACTCATTAGTGTAATTTAGAGGCTAATTATTTAGTACCGTTAACGTGTAACACTAAACCACACTATATTCTGTTTTTATCTGACATCACTGAACTATCTCAAAAGGCTTGATTCTCTCGAGTCTTCTCATTGAATTGGCATTGTTGAGGAGCTGGATAATCTCAATGTTCCCATGTCACCAACTGGCAAATTTTTCTATTGTATTTTTAACAGTCTCCTAACAGGTTCCTATGATGATCACTATTGAATCGACGATGTTCCTTAACACTTTATTTTGGAAACGTTAAATAACTTGCATGTTAAAACAACTGGTACAGTCCCAAAGCTGGATACCATTCGTATATGGGTTTCAATATCTGCCTGTAAAAAAGCAGTTTGTTGTATGTGGATAATTTCCTAGCAACCAATACATTCTTTTTTATATTTTATACCCAGCGTAGTCTATCGTCAAATGTTATACCCGAGCGTCATTTATTCTAATAGGAATATATTCATTTTGTTTATTGCTGAAGTTGGTATGGACAAATTTGCCTTCGTTCAATTTTATTGGCAATCTTTTTGTTCAGATATTAATCTGGTCTATAGATTTTTGCAGTTTTCTAACAGCAAGAATTGGCAGCAGCATCATCAGCAAATGTTGCAATAGTATTGCGTTCAAGATTAGGTATCTTTAGTATACAACAAGACCTAGTACACTATTTTGAGGTACTCCTTTCTGTCTGATAAATAGGATTATAATAGTCCAGGGTATTGACGTGGCAGAAACATATTCAGTTTTTAAATCAGGCCTTCATGCCATACTATACTTTGTCGACAGCCTGAGCTACATCCAAAAAATACGATGGAGCAAACTTTTTTTTTCTAGGTGATATATGTGATTCTATAACCTTGATCGATTGTAGGGTGGTTTTTTCTGAAGCCAAACTGATGGGAGGCATTAGGTAATTTTCTTGTATTATAGGTTTCAATCTCTTAAGAAGCAATTTGTCATAAGGTTTCGAGAGTACAAGAGGATGAGTCTGTACGATGTAACTTTATGATGAAGTTTACCCTGGCTAGGTAGTATCATTATAACTTTTTCCACCTTCCACATCTTTGATGCACACTTTAGTCTAAAGGACGCATTGATAAGATTGGCCATTTTGACAATAGCTTTCCGTAGAAGTATTTTTAAAATTTCCCTGATAATGAGGTCAAATCCAAAGGCTTTTTATATACAGGGTTGGCCAAACCTCTGTCGTAGTTCTATAACTCCTATTATGCAAATCTTAACAATTTATTCGAAGTATACCTGTCAATGGTGGTCAGAACCAAATATCCCAAAATTATTTTCTTGTGTACAGGGTGGCCCAATAGTAAATTAGGCAAATCACTTATTTTTTTTTAAATGGAATGACCCAACTTTTTTCCAATTTTAGGTACTCTATGGTCACTAGTGCATACCCACAAAATATTGTTTCTAACATCCTACTTCTTTCGCAGAAAAAGAAGAAATTCCAAAAAATATTACATTTTCAGACGCCTATTAAAATATGCAGTGCTCTCTCGAATTTGACGTTAGAATTTAAAAAACTACAAATGTATAAAGCCAATAGACCAAAGATTTTTTTAGACCAAGTTTTAATTTTTTATTTTGTACAGGGTGGTCACAAATTAATTTCAATTTTCAAAAATTTCTAGGACATTTTATTCAAATTTTTCAAATAGAACACCCTGTATTACTATTCATCGATGAAAAGAGAATTTTATACCCTTCGACTTCCCCATGTACTTTCCTATACCTATATGTCGTCGTTTAAAAGTAAATTCCAAAAAGACATTGATCTATCAAAAATCCAATTTCTACCAGTGATTTTATTAAAAGTGAACATTCAATCAAGTAGGCTGGGTCTTAATGAAGTGTCAAATTATTTATTAATGAAGTGTCAAGTTATTTTTACTGATAATTCTTCTAATGAATTTTACGAAAAACGAATTAATTGACATGGTCTATGTTTTGGTAGAATCCGACAGAAATTGTTTATTGGCAAAAATAATTGATCATCAACGATATCCCGATAGACGCATCCCTGATCAAAAAAGTTTTGAAAAGTTACATGAAAGATTTACCGAATCAGGAAATGTTGCTTATAAAAAACCAATAATTGACAAACGTGCTACTGATAATGATAACCAATTATCTGTAATTTTGACAGCGATAGAAGATCCTCATGTAAGTCAAAAAAAGATTGCCGAAGTAGTAGGTATAAGTAGAACATCCGTTAGAAGGATTTTAAAACAGCATCAATATCATCCTTATAAAATACAATTTCATCAAGAGCTGAAAGACACCGATTTTGATAATAGAATGGTGTTTTGTAACTGGGCACAAACTAAACTGCAACAAAATCCATTTTTTTTTATAGAGTGCTGTTTTCTGATGAATCTACATTCCACAAGAACGGATTCGTTAATAGACATAATTTCCACTATTATTCCACGGAAAATCCTAACATCATCAGAACACATAGCCAAGAAAGATGGAGTGTAAAGGCTTGGGGAGGTATAATTGGGGATCATGTTATTGGGCCGTATTTTTTTGAAGGCAACTTAAATGGTCTGATGTATTTAGATTTTTTAGCAAATCATCTTCCTACTTTACTTGAAAACATTTCCCTTGCTGTAAGACTAACAATGTGGTACCAACATGATGGGGCAGCAGCGCATTTTTTACGCGAAGTGGCAGATGAATTAGATGAAAAGTTTCCAAATAGATGGATTGGTAGAAATGGTCCAAAAAAAATGGCCAGCTCGATCACCTGACTTAACAAAACCCCATTATTTTTTGTGGGGTTATATTAAAAATCTAGTCTATCTTACGCCACCTACAACACCTGAAAATATGAAAGAAAGGATAGTGCAAGCTTTCCATTCCATTACACCTGATATGCTTAGAAACGTTTCTCGATCATTCGCCCAACGAATAAATGTATGCATTAGAGAAAATGGCAAACATTTTGAGCATCTTTTATAAAATGTAAATTTATGTTTTAGGATAAATTTCAGATAAATTTTATTATCGTAATTTTCTTCCTTTTGAATTTATTTTATAACGGCGACAGATAGGTATAGAAAAGTACATAGGGAAGTGGAAGGGTATGAAATTCTCCTTCAGTTGATGAATAGAAATACAGGGTAATACATTTGAAAAATTTTAAAAAATTTCCCTCGAAATTTTTAGAAAGTGAAATTAATTTGTGACCACCCTGTACAAAATAAAAAATTCAAACTTGGTCCAAAAAAATCTTTGGTCTATTGGCTTTATACAATCGTAGTTTTTTAAATTCTAACATCAAATTCGAGAGAGCACTGCATATTTTAATAGGCATCTGAAAATGTAATATTTTTTGGTAATTTTTTTTTCTGCGAAAGGGGTAGGATGTTAGAAACAATATTTTGTGGGTATGTACTAGTGACCATAGAGTACCTTAAATTGTAAAAAAAGTTGGGTCATTCCATTTAAAAAAAATTAAGTGATTTGCCTAATTTACTATTGGGCCACTCTGTACACAAGAAAATAATTTTGGGATATTTGGTATTGGCCACCATTGACAGGTATACATCAAATAAATCGTTAAGATTTGCATAGTAGGAGTTATAGAACTACGACAGAGGTTTAGCCAACCCTGTATAGTCTTTGTTCACTCATTAGCAAATGAACTTTGGAGTTAATGGGTTTGCAGCAAAACGATATGTGTACTCTTATAAGTTTATTCCAAGCTTTCGAATGTCAATACATTTATCTTCAGGGATCTAGAAATATTTATTAAGGACAAAGTTAAAATTGAATGATGATGTAATAAACTCAAAAGACCTTTAGCAAGGCTTTAATGAACGAAATGATTGACAAATAAAATACATAAACATCATCTAATAATAAGACAACATTAGGTATGTTAAGGTGAGTACAGCACCCCCTTATAATTTTCGGATAAGCATATCTCAAAAAGTGTTTTTTTTTAAGTTAAAATTTTGGCAAAATAAATTAGGCAATAGTATCTAGAATATGCTTATATTTTAAAGTTTTGAGTATTTTCAGTTTCCAAAAAAAAAATCAAAGGGCTTTAAATTTTGAAATATCATAATGAAAATAAATGCATTGTTCAATAGTAGTATTCTTAATATAATCCCTAAATTTAAGCTCTTAATCTATTATAAATGATTTTTTAAAATTCGCCGAAATTAATGGCTAAAACGCCTCGTTAAGTGCTATTTTCTGGTTTAAACTGGTGTAAACTGGTGTAAATCATTGCAAGAGACGAATGATGACTCGGAGTGTACGATACGATAGTTACAGTCGCGTTACACCAGAAAGCAGCACTTAACGAGGCGTTTTAGCCACTAATTTCGGCGAATTTTAAAAAATCATTAACAAGAGATTTAAAGCTTAAATTTGGGGATTATATTAAGAATACTGCTCTTGAGGAATGCATTTATTTTTATTATGATATTTCAAAATTTAAAGCCCTTTGATTTTTTTTCTTGGAAACTGAAAATAATTAAAACTTTAAAATATAAGCATATTCTAGATATTATTGCCTAATTTATTTTGCCAAAATTTTAACTTTTAAAAAGAATTACTTTTTGAGATATGCTTGTCCGAAAATTATAAGGGGGTGCTGTACTCACCTTAAGTATACTAAATATCATATTCTTCTTGCCTCTATTACCTAATTTAATCATTT